AGAGAGAGAGAGAGAGAGAGAGAGAGAGAGAGAGAGAGAGAGAGAGAGAGAGAGAGAGAGAGAGAGAGAGAGAGAGACTCGGCGAACCTCAGTGCACTGTCCATGCACCGCAGGGAACTGCGCAAGAAGACACCGTACGCGATCCGAACCGCCTACACGAAGACGATGGAAGTCGACAGACCATCATTGTGTTTAAGTAATCGACGGTGGCGCGATGGATAACAGAAGCCTGCAGTTCGCACACACGAAGTAGCAGGAGAAGGCCGACGACGATGGCAACGTTGCGGATCACGAATGTTTCATTCGCTCCGCCAAAGCGTGTCGGAGCGCGAGCACCTCGTCTGTTGAAGTGACATTGCTCACTGGCTGGGGCGGAAGTTTAATTCCTGGATCCACACGTCGCCGCACACCATTGCGGTCCACTTCCCATAGCAGATTCTCGTCGAACTCTATCACTGCATCGAAAAGAATGTTGTGCAGAATGCAGATCGCGGTAAACTGTTGCGGCAGAGTGTCCAGGTTCGTCTTGTGAGTTCGCAGGAACAACCTCCACATGCCCTTCAACCTGCTGAGCTCTCTCTCCACAGCCCCTTTGGCGACCTTCTGCTTCGTGTCGAATCGTTCCTCGTCAGGATGTTGATTGATTCCTCCGTACGGGACCAGCACCCATTCCGATGGAGGGTACCCGTTGTCGCCCAGGATGTAATCGTTGGTTCTCACCCCGCCCGGAAGCGTCACAGGTGCCCCACGGAACAGCGTCCCATCTTTCGCGCGCCTGGACAGGCTGGACAATTGGATGATCCTGATTTCGTGGCAGCTCCTCGGATACCCAACAAAAATGTCCAGAACGCGCAGATCGAGGTCGACCACCACCTGCGCGACCACGAAGAAACGGTGTTTGCGGTCGAAGTAGTTCTCTCTGGGCGCGTTCGCCGGTTTGTCGACGTAGATGTGTATGCAATCGACCGCTCCGTGGCAGTTCGGGAAGCCCTTGTCCAGGAATGCCCGCAGCACGACATGTTTCCGCACCCCAGTCGGCCAGAATATCTTGTTCGCGTACACCCGAAGCAACGCGGATGTCACATCGCGCAACGCGATTATTCCAAAGGCTCTCCCCACACCGAACGACGATGTGCTGCTGTCATATGTCTCTCCTGCCGCCCACCGGTATAGCGTGTACGCGACGATCTGCTCCGGCTGCAGCGGTTCCATGTAGGTAGTGTCTTCTTTCCCGGGTAGGTGTTGTTGTGTGTCCATCGACGAAGGGGCAGAGGGGTAGTGGACAGGCCGAGTGGTGGGTTGGGATGTCGGTGAGTGACATTGGTGACGACGTCGGGGATGGAGGTCCTGTTTGTGTATGTCGTCCTGTGTTGTTGTTTTTGCTACGTGCAGAGAGGACTTGTCTCGTCTTACGAACGGTGGTCGAAGCTTTTGTATATTTCATATTTGTTTTACTATGCATTTCTTTCGTGAGATTTTTTTCGGTTTGAGTTCAACACTGTGGATCCGTTTGCATGCGAAGAATCATTCTGTCGTCTGCCGATTTCGTTGTTGTTCGTGGATGCCATTCGAGGTTTTTTGTGTTTCTTCATCGGCTTCATCAGTACATTCATGTTAAACAAACAAAAATGATCGGGAAACAAGTCGGTGGATAAAGAAGACAGAAGAAAATACTTGAATGGCATCGCAAAATTGCATGTACATACACAATTACACGTAGGCATGAGACTGCCCAAGACGGCATGAGGATGCCGCGTGAAACAAGCATTCAAACAGCAATACAAATGAAGTGTATGAAAAAAAAGCTCGCGTCATGTACACATTGCAATATCATTATATCACACATCGCAACCGAAAACCGGTTGCGCAATCAACCCAGTATTCAAAATCTTGAACCATTGTGCCCAACGATGAGAGCACATCAAACGAAACAACTTTCCCCCTCTCTCTCTCTCTCTCTCTCTCTCTCTCTCTCTCTCTCTCTCTCTCTCTCTCTCTCTCTCTCTATCTCTATCTCTATCTCTCTCTCTCTCTCTCTCTCTCTATCTATCTCTATCTCTCTCTCTCTCGCTCGCTCTCTAACCACCTATTTATTTAACTTCCCCCATTGGCCGAACGTCATGGCGATCCAACGCAAAGTGAAAGTAAACGACAGCAACACGGTGCACAGTCACAACTGGAAACGTGGGCGACAAGCGGGGGTGGTGTGACAAACACTCCATGGGCGACCCGGAAGGCGACATTCTCATGCACTGCGGAGTTGACGAGGGTCGACAGTATGCAAAATGGGGAGCTTTCTTCCTTGCCGTTTGCGCACCCCCCCTCCTTCCTCGCCGCTCGCACACCCCCCTACTGTCGTCGCCATGTTCACACGCAACTAAGAGTCCGCACCCGCACACCCCCGCACACCCCCGCACCCGCACACCCCCACACCCACACTCTCTCGCCGGCATGGCGTGCGCCCACGCCCGAACCGCCGCTCGTCACGGGGGGCACCTACCCATGGTATCATCCCATCACACACCAATGCCTGCGCTTATCATCGTCGCCGTCTTCTTCAACAGCCTCCCCCTTGCTTCAACTATCCACATGAAGATTGGTCATGATCGTTGTATGCAGGAGGCTCGTCCCTTCATCTGTCCCTCACTTCCCTTCTTTTTCGTCATCAGCCGCCGGTGGACCACTCCCGACCCAGTCGTGATTGGCGGCCTCAACACCATTCTTCAGCACCGCATTGTGAGCGCACAACACCCCGCAGTCAACCCATTCCGAGACGCAGTGCGGATACTCTCCCATCGTGATGTGTGGCTTCCCGAGGCGATCCAATACGATGTTCACCGTGTCGATGATATGACGCATCCAGTTGAAGGCATAAGACCCCGCAACAATGAGGGTGGGTTTTGCGGTGAGTGCAGCAAAGTATCCTGCGTCGTAGTGCGAGCGATAGTCGTCGCCACCCATTAGCATGATCCACATGCAAGGGCTTACAAGATACCGCAAACAATCCGCGAGTCTAGACAACCTATTGTGCTTCAACCTACCACCATCCGCCCACTGCCCACAGTGCAACGCATCCGTCCAGCAGTCCGCCACGCGAATGATTGTCGCCTCCTGTTGTGCGGCCATGTTATCATCTTCAGGCCTGTCGACGATTTTCAACCCCACGAACCAAAGAGGCACATACATCTTCATCTGCAATGTGTAGTAGACGAGTGTCGGGGAGACCACTCTCGACCATTCCAAGCCTTGTCACACAGCACGCGCGACGTCGGTGGCGTAGTCCACGATGATGTAGGACTCCGCACGTGCGAATCCATTCGATCTTGATGACGACTTGAAGATCCACCCGTGGATCGCTCGCATCACGATTTTCTCGACAACCGTTGCTCTCTGCAAATCCGAATCTTGCTGCGTAGGGTCGTCGATCTTCGTGCGGTGGATATCAGCAGGCGGCATGATGAGCATGGGTGGCGGCTCAGCTCCCGAGTCCCCATTGGCGATGGCGATGAAGTAATCCACGCAGTCCGTAACCTCCTCCCTCAATGGTTTGTCGGGACCTTGACCCCAGAACGCGTCGCTATCCACCCACAATATCGACCTACGGTCCAGATCGTCCTCCGGGTCGTGCTTCTTCAACCTTTTTGAAGGGCAGTTGTCGTCGTCGTCATCGCTCTCCTGCCTCCCATCCCCTATGTCGTCTTCGTGGCGAACGTCCACTACCCTTCTCTCTTCCCCACCACCATCTGACCCGGTTGCCCTGGGTTGACGTGCGCTGGGGGGGGGCATCCCAGTGACCCCACCCTCCCCGCCCCGCGTAGGCGACTTCGCCTTGCCCGTCCCCGAACCGCCCGCCTGTTGCGTTGTCAGCTCTTCACGGGTTGGCGATGGTGACGCGACCTGCTTCTCCACCCGCCCTGCCCCAGCGACCGGGATGATCGTACCACGACCGGTGCTTGAAGCCACACCCCCGCCAGCAGGAGTGACCTCGGCGACCGCCCCTCGTTGATCACTAACCCGCCTCCCTTCGGTGTCCTCACTTGGGCGACGGTGGCAGCACTTCCGCCAGCCTGTTTTAATATCGCGACCAGCGCCCTCGACACACCGTCCCGCCCGAAACCCAATCACCCGCCCGCCTGTTGGCTTTAAACGCCCGCCCACCGCCACGTTCTCCTCTTCTTCGTCGCCATCCCAGCTGTTATCAACTACGATCTTTGTTGCAGACTTCCCGAAGTGACCGCGTCCTCTCTTGCCTTCCCCCCCCTCTCCTCCTCTGCTCTCCCCTCCCCCTCATTGTCGTGTTCCGTTGCGGCATGTGGACGACGGTGCCCAGTATGCGACGCGAGAGAGCACCGCATAGATTGCACGTCTGGCGGAAAGGCTACGGGTACACTGCGGCACGGAATGGCGGGCACACCGCTCTTTTCTAGCTTTCGTCGCACTCCAACAAAACACGGACAACGGTAGCCGAACATGCCCCCTCCCCTTTCGTAAAATGCACGCGGACCTTTTTTACCCGTCCAGTGTGTATCCTCGCCCGTCGCCTGGGCCCGCGCTGACGCTCCAGCTCACCGTATTTTTCCCGCCACCACCCATTCGTCGTCCACAACTCCAGCGTTGCATGAAAGAGACAGCGCAGTGCGGCGCCTAGTCCCTCCAAGAAGGCATACAGAAAGTTCCTCCAACCATCTTGCATGCCGACCCGCGCAGTTGGGCCACGTACCGTTCCCACGCCCTCTAAATTCCGCATGAATGTGACACCTTGCCCACCTCTTCTCCTTCCCAGTTGTCGCCCGACGCTACATCCATCCGATTGTCGAAACTGCAGCCGAGGGTGACAGGAAAAATGGACCAGCAGTACACACGAAGATGACTTCAGGATCATTCCCAAATCGCTTTCGCAATCTCCAATAGAGCGTTGCACATCATGAGGTTCGCCTGATCGGCCTTTTCGTAGTGCTGTCTCTGGACGTCCACCTCCCGCTCGAGAATATCACACTGCCTCGTCAGAACCGAGCACTGTCATTTGCTCGCAGAGTCCACTGTTGTCAGCATCAGTTGCCCGTGCTTGTCCATGACGTCTGCGATCGCCTCAAAGGTCTGTTGTCAGGCATTTTTCCTTTTTCCGGCCCCTCCTCCACTCCCGCCGGTAAACGTTGAATCCCTAGTCGATCCCGCCTCGTCGTCGTGCCCCTCTCCACCTCCCTCGCTAGGCACCGACTCCTGCCGTCCGGCCGCAGAACCGCCCATCTGGACAGCCCCCGCCGCTCCCGTGTCCACCAGGTTGATTGGATGGACGGTGTGATCGGCCTTTGTCATGGCCTCCATCTCCCGGTACACACGCTCATCCATCCGGAAGTCGAAGTCTTTCTCCCTCCTTTGCACAGGCGTCAAAGTGAAGAAATTCTCTTTCCCGGACAAGCCCATGAATTTATGAACGCGTTTGAACTGCTAATAAAGGTTGTCCTATTTCTTCCTGCAGTCGTTGGCCTTCGTGGTTGTCACCCCGACCTTCACTAGCCTCTTCTCCACGTTATCCCACTTCCACGTCCGTGATTTCATCCGCCCGTAGTTGTGTCAAAGGCCCGCGAGATGCACGTCCTGGTCACGTTTAGCTCGGACGAGAGCGATCATATGCTCGACCGACCAAAACTCTCTGCTCTTGCTTCCCTCGCCTGCCGACGTGTCTTCTGCAACCTTCTTCCCCTTCCACCGTGCGCGCGGCTCACTACACTTCTTCGGGGCAGACCGCACTCCCCGTTTCCTCCCGACTGGACGGATGTCCATTTCGCCGTCCTCGTCTTCTTCATCATGGTCGTTCGCATCGTTTTCACTTCCGCTATCTTCAGGCCCTCCATTGTCATTGTCGGCGATTGTATCCTCTACGCCGACGTTCATCCTCTCCACACCTCTCGTTATGTCGGACGTCGTCGACTGCCTCAAATGTCGCCGCTGATCTTCCCACACGGTTGTGACCCAGTCGTCCTCGTCCTAGATGCAGCCACACCGACACTGCCAACAGCCCCCACCCGGGCCGAATTCGATCCACGATCGTAGGGCAACCCGCGTTGGCGCCCGTCGACATTTGGTGGAAGCCCACCCGTCGTCCCCGATGGCCTTGCGTCAAAGCTTGCTGAAGCGGGCCTGACCACAACTGTGCGTGAGACATCGTCACAGCTACCAGGCCTTAGACCGAAGCTGAGGTCGACCGCCCTTGTGTCGTATCTTGTCGGTGCACGCCCCTCCAAAAGATCATTGTACGTCGGCGTTGGTGGATGTGTGAAGTGTTGGGTCCCCATCCAATCTTGTGTGGAACCGCTGCCCAACGGAACCGTGGCGGACGGAGGCTCATCGGCTTCGTCGTCCGTCGGAGGCAACAGTGTCTCCCACGAAGGCAGGTGGCTGTACAACGCGGGGTCGTACGGCCGCCTGCCTCCTTCCGCACACGACAGACGCATTGTTGATGACACCCCCCAAGAAGCTGTCGTCTTCTTATGGACGTTGTTCATCTTCGTCGATGCCTTCTTCGACGATCGCGGCGTCAATCTTCGACGATGACCACGCCCGACAAAACAGACGTTCAAAACGACAACGATAACTAGCAGCACAATGACGAGCAGCACCAGAGGCAGCCTGCCAAACAGGTCAGCCATGGACTGCAGGGAAAACGAACTCCACCACTGGCTGAGGCGACATGTGGAAACCACACTGGCGGGATGCACATGACGAGAGGATGCATTTGTGCTTTCGGGGACCATGCGAGAACGACAACGATTTCGTAAACATGACCGTTGGGGAGCCCGCCAGCAGCTCAACAGCCCGACACAAGCTGGTCGAATACGGTACAAGGGCCGCCCACTACGCCCAGAGGAAGAACACGGCCTTCGGCCGGATCGCTGCCAACGGTAAGTTCGTGGAGGTCGTTGGAGAACATCCAAGCGCCAGGTTGGAGGGGGGGGGGGGGGGGGGGGGTGCGATGTCCGTGTGCAGGCCGTTGGACCACGAATGGACCACCTCGTGTCTCCAATTTCCGTTGTGGAGTCGTCGCCGCCGTCCCGTGATTCGTGGATCCTCGGGCTCCGTAGGACCTCGCGAGGTCCTTCAGGTTCGAGGACGATTTGGCTGGAAAATCTTCGGAGTCGTCCTCGGAGCGTTTTCACATTTTTTTTGGGAAAATCGGCTCCGCAGACAGGTGTAACGATGACGAATTCCTCGAAATCTCGTCCCCGAGGAGTGTCTAACGATGCCCTAAGAACGACTTACAAATGGGAATACCAACGTCTTGATTACTAACAAGTCCATCTGCTGTATATAGGTATGTAATCTTGGATTTCTTTTTTTTTGCAGACAAGAGCTTTGTCCTGGGTCGTCTTGTCCCATCGTTTGGCCTGTGAAGGAGGGAGGGGCAGTGCTTGCATATGGGACTTGTCATCTAGGATCTGTTTTTGGTGTTGTTGCTTGTTGCCCCCTGTTTTGTTGGTTGTTCCCTTCCTCTTTTCTTTGCCTCTTTGCCCTTTGGCTGTGTGCAAGTGGGTCAATATGACACACGGGGGTGGGGATAGCCGCCGCTCAACCTACATCCACGTGAACGGCCTTGTACTCAAGAGGTTCTGAGCAGGGGGAGTTGTAAGAAAGAAGATTAAAGAAATGGATTTTGTTTCTTGTTTTCTTCTGTTTTTTTTTGCCTTTCCGCTCTGACATTCATGTGACAATATATATTCTCACATGAATATCATAGCGCAAAGGCGAAAAAAAGAAACAAATTAATTCGTTTTTTTATTTTCTTCCTTACAACTCCCCCTGTTCAGAGCCTCTTGCGTACAAGGCCGCCCACGTGGATGTAGGTTGAGCGGCCCCGTGTGTCATATCGACCCACTTGCACACAGCCAAAAGGCAAAGAGGCAAAGAAAAGAGGAAGGGGACAACCAAATAAAACAGAACAGGGGGCAACAAAACAGATCCCAGATGACAAGTCCCACATCCAAGCACTGCCCCGGTCCTAGACAGGCCAAACGACGGAACAAGACCAACCAAGATGTCAAAACATTCTTGTCTGCAAAGGAATTAAAAAAAAGTCCCAGATACATATCTATACACAGCAAATGGCCTTGTTCGACATCAAGAAGTTGATATTCCTATTCGGCGTCATCGTAAGCAATTCGTACCGGGACATCATAAAAATCAATCCTAGATGATGATTCCCACATAAAAGCACCGCCGCCATTGATAGGCCGAACAACAGGAAGCAACCAACTAGGATACCAAATAGAACCCGGAGGACCGGTATAGAAGGCAATCCCGGATGACGATTCCCACAAAAAAACACCGCCCCCATGCAGGCCGAATAACAGGAAACAACCAACCAGGATGCCAAGACAATAAAAAAAATTAAAATGGATGACTGGTCCCACATGAAGCACCGCTACGCTCGTGAACATATGAATATATATATTGTCACAAGAATATCAGAGCGCAAATGCGAAAAAAAAGGAAAAAAGAAGAAGAAAAACAGGAAAAAATGAATTTCAGTTTTTTATCTTCTTCCTTATATATATGAGTCAGTGAAACTCCCGACGAAACAGTTTGTCACAACCCCTCGTTTGTTGTCCTCTCCTCCCTTCTCCCTCTCTGCCTACGGTTTACCGTGCAACTCTGTTTATATATATCGCCACTCGTCTTTTTTTTATATATATACAAATATATAGACAATATATCGTCACAGAGTTATCAGAGCGCAAAAGCGAAAAAAACAAAGGGCACAAAAAAAATATCAATTCATTTTTTATCTTCTTACTTACAACTCCCCCTGCTCAGAACCTCTTGCGTATATATTTGACGACATATATGATGAGTCGGTGAAACTCAGACGAAATAGTTTGTCACAAACCCTCGTTTGTTGTCCTCTTCTCCCTTTCTCCCTCAAACCGTAGGCAGCTCTGGAAAAAAAA